GAACTCACTCGACTCCACTCCAAGATGACAAATGATCCAATCAAAAAATGGGCAAAGGACCTGGGCAGACGCTTTTCCAAGGAGGAGATACAGAGGGCCCAGAGACATTTGAAAGGATGCTCAGCATCACTAGCCATCAGAGAAATGCAGATCAAAACCACCATGAGGTACCACCTCACACCGGTCAGAATGGCCATCATAAACAGATCAACAAACAACAGGTGCTGGCGAGGCTGTGGAGAAAAGGGAACCCTAGTACACTGTTGGTGGGAATGCAGACTGGTGCAGCCACTGTGGAAAGCAGTGTGGAATTTCCTCAAAAAGCTGAAAATGGAACTGCCTTTGGATCCAGAGATTTCCCTGCTGGGACTATATCCTAAGAACACCAAAACGCCAATACAAAAGAACCTATGCACCTCAATGTTGATAGCAGCACAATTTACAATAGCCAAGTGTTGGAAGCAACCTAAATGCCCATCAGTAGATGATTGGATCAAAAAGTGATGGTACATACACACAATGGAATACTATGCAGCAGACAGAAAAAAAGAACTACTAAACTTTGCGACAGCATGGATGGAACTGGAGAGCATTATGCTAAGCGAAATAAGCCAGGGGGCGAAAGACAAATACCATATGATCTCACCTATAAGTGGAACCTAACCAACAATACAAAGATGCAAAGAAAATAAGACCAGCAACACTGAAAGGAAAAGAAATCAACAGAGACAAGAGGGAAGGGGGGGGGGGACAAGGAAGGGAAGGGGAAAGTCAAGAAACATATAGCAAGGACTCATGGACAAAACCAAAGGGGAAGAGCTGAGGGAGGGAAGGAGGGAGGGGGCAAGGGAAAGTGATGGGGGGTTGGCAGAGACAAATGTATTTGAAAAAATAAATTAAAATAAAATTTTAAAAAAAAAGAAAGAAAGAACCAATGGTAAAATGGTATAGAGCTCTATGGGCGGGCTGTGGCTTAAAACATTCTCTCTCTTTTCCAGATGTGTTTGAGGTTCTTCTGGGCTCCCCAGCATTGGGGACCTCCTCTACAGCTCCCTGCAAATAATTTTTATTTGCTTGACTTACCAATAATTGAGAGAAATATGTTGAAAAATTTATCAAATATACATTTGCAATATGTGTGTGTGCGTTATATATTTTGAAGCGATTTAGTGTACCAAATCTAGAATTATTAGGGCTTTGTATTTAGTCGAAACTTTTATCATTACGCAGTGATCCTTTTTGCTCTAATAATTCTATGTGTTCTGCAGTCTCTTTTATTTGGACCACCCTGAAGTACTTGTGATAGCCATGGCTGTCATGGCTTTCTTTGGGTTAGATTTTGCTTCTTTTATTTTCTCTTACCTTCAAACTCTCTGTATCCTTATAGTTGAAATATGTTTCCTATAAACAACATATAGCAGGACTTTTTTTATTTCGCATTTTTGTCTTGTGCTTCCTATTTACCTACATTTTTATGTTTTTTTTAACTTTATTGCCTTCTTTTAAATTGACTTTAAATTTCATTTTTCCACTTAACTGAATTGGAAGCTATATACTCTCTGTGTATTCTTTTGTAGTTGTTCTAGAAATTTTACCATGCCTGCTTGTGTGTAGGCTAATACCCCTGACTCAAAGATGTCCATATCCTAATCTTCAGAACTTCTGAAAATGCTACCTTACAGTTAAAAAGGACTTTGGAAATCTAATTGTGTTAAGAATCTTGAGATGAGGAAATTATCCACCTGAGTTATCTAGGTGGGCCCATTTTCATTTACATGAGTCCTCAGAAGAGAGAGATGTAAAAGCAAGAGTCAAAAAAAGGCACTATGATGGCAGAAGGAAGGAGAAGAACTGTTAATATGCTACACTGCTGTCTTTGAAGGTTGGGGATGGGGTCTGAGCCAAGCATGCAGACAGGCTGTAGAAGCTAGAAAAGGCAAGGGAGCAGGTTCTTTTCAGGAGCATTTCTCAGAAATACAGCAGTACTGACCCACTACAGACTCCTTACTTCCAGAACTGTAAGAGAGTAAATTTCTGTTGGTTTAAGCCACTAAGTTTGTGTTAATTTGTTACAGCAGCGATTGGAAACTAATACAAATTTTGTTATCTAAAAGTGGCATGCTGCTGTAACAAATACATAAAAATGTGAAAGTAGCTTTGTAATTGGGCAATGGGAAGAGGTCAGAAGAATGTGAGGTACGTGATAGAAAAATCCTAGATTGCTTTGATCAGACCGTTGGTAGAAACATGCATGTTAAAGGCACTGTTGGTGAGGGAAAAGAAGGAAACAGGGAACATAAAAGAAAGTGGAAAAAAGAGATTCTTGTTACATGGTGGCAGAAAACTTAGCTCAATGGTGTGTCCTTCAGTTGTGTAGAAATCAGATGTGTAAGTGATAAACTCTGATATTTAGCTGAGGAGATTTCCAAGAAAAATGTTAAAGGTTCATTCTGGTTTCTCCTCACTGCTTACAGTAAGATGCAAGAAGAAAAAGATAGCTTGAAAAACTAGTAAAGAAAAAAAATCACTTAGTGATTTAGGAAATTTTAAGCTTATCCAGATTGCAAAAGATGTCAAAATTATGAGGTTCACTGTTACGGGAACATTCCTTGGAGAAAAAAGCCAAGAGTGTGGCTAGGCAACCTTTGGCTAGTGCTTTAACTCCTTAAAATGGGCATCATTATTGCTGTTTTAAATATTTAATATTATTTAGGTTTACTTATATGATTACCAGTCTCTTTGCTCTCCACTCAATCATACATTTCAGACCTTATTTCTGTAGTGGTTTTCCTCCTTTCTGGAGTGTATAGGCATATCTCGTTTCATTAAGCTTCACTTCACTATGCCTCACAGTCATTGAATTTTTTACAAATTGAAGGTAAGACCATCCACCAGGGAAAATATTATAACCCACTGAACACTGAGATAATGGTTAGCATGTTTTTAGCAATAAAACATTTTTAAATTAAAGTATGTATATTATTTTTTAGCAATAATGCTATTGTACACTTAATAAACTACAACATATTGTAAATAAAGTGTCTATATGCACTGGGAAACCAAAAAATTTGTGTGGCTCACTTCAGTGTGATATTCCCTTTATTGCTGTAATTTAGAATTAAACCCACAATATTTTGGAGGTATGCCTGTACATTATTAGAAATTCCTTAAGTGAGGGTCTGTTGGCAGCAAACTCAGTTTCTATTTGAAAATATTTTTACTTCTTCATCATTGTTAAAATTAAATTTTATTAGATATACAATCCCGGGTTTATCTGTGGAATACTGAGGGAACTTATTTGGAATGATTTCCTCCAGCAAAGATTTGTATTTTCTTTTTCTGAGTATGGATGGGGAGGGAGTAGTTGAACATTACAATGTCTCTCAGCCTTTTGAGTATACTTTCTATTGTCCCATGACTCCCATCATTGCTATGAGAAGTTGGCTGTCAGTCTAATTAGTGAATTTAGAAAGCATTCTTTTTCTCTCCAGCAGTTTATAAGATCTAACCTTTATTATTGGTGTTCTGTAGTTTTATTGCAAGATTTCTAGAAATGGAGTTCTTATTGTTAATATTTCTTGATCTAGGTTCTGAGTCTTGGATCTGTTGGCTCATCAGGTCTGAAAAATTCTCAGCTATTATCTCTTGAAATATCTCTTTCCTTTCTTTTAGCACTTCAGTTAGTCTCCTTTTAGACTTCCTTTCTCTATCCTTTAGACTTTGTGTCACTTTTATTTAGGCTTAATCTTCTCATCTCTCTGTGAAAGTCTCTCTTCCAGTTTATTAATTCTCTAATCATCTGTGTCTATTTTGTTGTTTAACCCATTTGTTGAGTTTTTTACTTAAATTACAATGGTTTAATTTATGAAAGTACTGTTCTTTTTTAAAATTGGCCAATCATTGAGAGTCTCTTGGTTAATTTTAAAATTATTATTTTTAAAAACACTTCATATATAATACATTTATATTTTTTAATAACTCCAATATACATGTCCTTGGATGTTTAAATCTATTATTATTTCTGTGGACACTCACTCGTGATGGCTTTTCTCCTAATGTGTGTAGAATTTTTTATAATGAGCCAAAATTTTGTTGACCTTAATCTGTGGCATACAAAGGGGACTCCTTTGGAATTACTTCCTCCATAAAAAATCTGTATTTTCATTTTCTGGGTATGAGTGGGAAGGAAGTAGTTGAGCATTAACAACCTGATACCTTAACAAAAATTTTCAGTAGTTGTCTTAGATTAGTACTTTTTAAAGAAATTATCAAAGAACACTATTATTTCTTCTTTTTTTTCTTCTTTTCTTTTCACCATAGTGGAGACATATTTCCTTATAGACCCCCTTTATTGACAGTGGATATTAGTCTAGTCTACTTTCTCACTATGGATGTAGCCTCCTCAAGAATTTTAGCTTAATAAGAGAGTCTCAGCTTTGGAAAAGGACATGGTATGATCTCCCATTTCCCTGTGGTATATTAATCCTCAGAGCTCTAGGATTCTGCATCCCCACTGCCTGAGTTCAAATTCTAGCCCTACCACTTACTGTTGACCATGAGTATATGGGGGGAATCGTTATCTGTTTGAACTTCTGCCTCTGTCACCAGGAAGCCAGCACCTGTGGTTGAGATGATGTTGCCATTCTAGGCCAAGTGCGATACACACCTCAGTCCTTCTTAGAGTTTTTTTGTTGTTGTTGTTTGTTTGTTTTTAAAGATTTTATATATTTATTGTGAGAGAGAGGGAAAGGAGGGAGAAAGTGAGGGCAAGAAACACGGATCAGTTGCCTCTCACACACCTCAAGCCGGGGACCTGGACCACAACTCTGGCACGTGCCCTGGCTGGGAATCAAACCTGTGACCTTCTGGTTTGCCGGTGGGTGCTCAATCCACTGAGACACACGAGCCCGGGCTCACATCTCAGTTGTTAAACTCAGATGTGATAGGCCTATAGCGTCTTCATTTTCTCCAGGGAGTACTGTTTGCTTTGAGGGCACTTGATGTCGGTTAACTCTCAGGAGTCTTGTCCCCTTCCCCTGGGATCACAGAAGTATGGCAGATGCGCCTATGGAGGTAGGGGCACAGGACCAGGGCCGGTGCTCAGGGGCTTCTTCAGTGCACTCGAGTCAACATGAGACACACGTGAGAAAGCCTAGCCTGACCAGGCCTGGGCCGGCAGCTCCGCGGGCTGTGCTGACCCAGCCACGGCCCTCTCTGCTTGGACCCTGACCTCCTTCCTCCCCCCTCACAGGCTCAGGGACCTTTCCCTGTCTCCTGAGGCAGAACCCCACGCCCTGTCCCCCGAGCCCCAGCACTGCCCGGATGAGGTCTCCCATGGTTCCCCACCGCAGCCAGGTGTGCAGGGGTCAGCCCGGAGCTCCCCCGCCAGGCTGGGCCACTGGGATCTCTGGGGAGCTCAGCGCACGGCCCCACCCTGCAGCTGGCCACGGGGAGCGGCGCGGCCCTTCTCGCTTTCTGGTCCCCTGCCCTGCGCGGGGCTCTGTCACACTCTCCCCACGGCCCTCTTGCCATGGGGCTGTGAGAGGCCGGCGCAGCGCCCCTTCTCCATGACCCGCTGGTATCCTGGGATGTTGGCAAGGGAGCCTTCATAATAAGGGCGCGTGAGGCAGGGAGGGCAGGGCAGTGAAGAGCTGGCGGAATCACGGATGGCAGACGATGGAATGATCCCGAGAGTGGCTGGGATGGAGCCCTGGGGCACGTGGGGGCGGTGGCATCAGAAGGGACAGACAGGAGGAAGGAGGTGTGACAGGACAGCGGCTCTTGGTGGCCTGATGGGGTTCAGGCTTCCTGGGGCATTTGCTTGGCAACAAAGCAGCACATAGGGAAGACAACGGTCGCTGGATTGGGGAGGTGAGTCCACTAGGACTCCAGACCCCCAGGTTCCTCAGTCCCAGTTGTCAAGCTCGTGGACGTTCTAGAAAAATCATCAGTCAAATGTAGGGGGTGGGGGTGTGGATTGGCTCCTTTCTGTGTCAGGTGCCCTGAGCCTGGAGTCTGTGCTCGGTGATTTCCACCATGTCCCGAGAAGTCTCCTTGAGGGTCTTCCCGAGATTCCGAGAGCAGGGGACGTTACTGCATGAGTGACAAGTGACTGCACTGAAGGTTTTCCTCCCTGATTCTGGTCACCGGTCCCTCTCCTGGGCCGAGGGAGGCGGCCAGGGAGGACAGGCCCCGGCCTGGAGCCTGTGCCTGGCTCGCTGTGTCCTGGCACACGGCCCTGGGAGGACTCCAGGCTCTGGCCTCTTGGGCTGCACTCATTGCTGCCCCTGCTGCCCTGGCCCCGCTTGGCCAGGGATGCCCAGGAGCAAACATGTCTGTCCCTGTTCATTCCAGGGGATTCCTGGGCCCAGACATCTCCCGGGCACTCAAGCTCAGGGACTGGCTGAGCCCCTTGACCCTGCCATGGACGGGCTGCTGGGAGAGGGGGGATGTGCCCAGGAAGGAGAGGACACTCCAGAGCAACAGCCACCCCGGCCCTCAGGAAGCCTCCCCAGGCAGGAAGTTAGGAGTCACCCAACCCAGGAGACTCAGGCTATAGAAAGAGGTGCTCTGGCTCTGGCCCAGGCACTGCCTTGGGCAGCCTGCATGAGAGACCTCGGTTTGCTTATCCCTGTAGTGCACAGGGTTGTGCTGCAGACAGGCCCTCCAGGTCGCGCTCTCTAGAATTCTCTGCTTCTGAGGTCACAGAGACACATTCTGAAGGAACAGAGACAGCTCAGATTCTAGAACCCCAACTCGAGTCAGACTCTCATCCTCTGCGTTGGCAGCGAGTCTGGTTCTCTGCCTTGGCAGCGATGAAGAAGCGAATCTCTTTAGCTCCCCTCCCCGGACCACGCTCTCCCACTCCTCCTTCCTCTGCCTCTTCCCTCTCAACTGTCTCCCTGTCCCCCTGCCCTCCACAGACCCCCGCTTCTGGGTATCGGCCTGTCCCTCCCCCTGGCCCCCCACCTCAGCAGACGAGGGCCCCATCTCTCCTCAGCGGGCCCCCTCCTCTCCTGGCCGCCCGCAGGGCCAGCAGCGCCCGCAGGCCCTCTGCCGTCCCCCGCACCCCCTGCCCTGCCCATCCCCCTTCCTCTCCTCTCCTCAGCATTGCCGAAATGGTCTCCCACACTGCTTGTCAGTGTCCTCTCATCCCAAGACCCCCTACTGGTCGTTCTCTGACCGATGGCCCCCTAGGCCCAGGCTGCATCTTCTATCCCCGACCTCCTGCCGGGGCACCACTTCCCACCATCGCCCCTCCCTCAGGCCGTCCTGCACATGGCCCCAGGGGCCAGGAGCCCCCACCACAGGGCACCCCTCAAAGACTCCGGTGTCAGACACCTGCTGTGCGCCGGGACCTGATTGTGGTGGGAAGCGGCTACAGGTAATCCGGGTGGACCCCCAGAAATCCAGAAGCCCCCCATCCGGTGCCCTCTCCACAGTGAGTCCTCAGACATTTGGGTGACATTCTAGCCCATGTCACCTGGCGCATGTCCCTCCTGGGGACCGGCGGAGGAGCGGTGGTGCCCTGTGCCCGGCCCCTACCCCACGCCCCAAACCAGCCTCCCTGGGAGCGAGGGACCAGGGGCCCCTCTGCAGAGCAAAGGCTGTCTGGGCGGGAAGTGGGGCGGGGGCCCTGTGGCAGTGGGAAGAGACTGGAAGCCCTGCCGCGAGGCCCCGGGGCCTGGAGGCTGGGGGAGGTCGAGGACCCCGCTGAGTGTGGGCCTTCTCGCAAAGCCTCCTGGCGAGTGCGGTCTTGGGCGCACACAGGGCGGCAGCTGAGCTCCGCAGCTGAGCGGGCCCCCAGCGTCGCGGGGTCAGGGCCCTGTTCCTGCAGCCCCCCTGCGGGCAGCCGTGGGCCTCCGGGGGTGTGGGAGGCTGTTGCGCCTGGAGGAGAGGGAGAGGGCTGTCTGGAGGGGCCTCCTGGAGGCGTCGGGGGACCCCCACACCATCCTCCACTCCCTTCCCTGCAGGACCGAGGACAGTCAGGGCTCCTCCCGTTTCCCATCCCTGAGAGCAGCAAGAAGAGGCCCAAGAGGCCAGAGGAGGAGGAACCCGCGACTCAACACTTCTGTGGGCCCAGCTGGGCGAAGCGGCTCCAGATCGGAGCGCCAAACTTCGGCAGCCCGTGGCCCTAGGGGGGTGAGTCTTGGGAGCGCCCACTGAGCCTGAGCGTGGGGAGGAGGGCCCCTGAAGACTCCCAAACCACTCAGGCTGCCTGCCCCTCCAAGGGGGCGCGTCCCGGGCTGGCTTTTCTGACCCCGGGCTGCTGCGCTCAGGGTCCAAGATTACGCCTCTTTTTGGGCCCTGTAGCGTTCTCATTTCTGATGACCGCCCTCCGGCGGCGGCGGCCGGTGGGCAGAAGTCCTGCGCTGAAGGCACACCCTGCGACCGGCGCCCCCTGGCCAGGAAGCCCGCCCTTTGCGGGCCAGCGGAGCCAGGCCCCGGCTGCCGGTGGCCCATAGTTGCGAAAAAGATCAAGGGAACGCAGCCTGCCCGGACGCCAGCCTCGAGCTCTGCTTCCGACTGCCAGGAGCAGATGGGCAGCCAGGCAGAGCTTGAGGACCCCCTGCACGAGGCCCTTCCGGAGCGGTCAGCCCCCTTGCTTTCTGTGCACATGCTGGGGGGAGAAAAAGAGAGGGAGGGGTAGGTCCTACCCCGAGTGGTGCCTCTGCGGGGCCCTGCTCCAGGCACAGGCCCAAAGCCCCAGGAGCGACCCGCCCTGCCCGCCGCGCCCAGCTCTCGCTCACACTCCTGCGCCTGACTTCTGGCCCCCAGACTCCTCCAGTCCGATCTCTCTCTCAGCACACACGCGGCCGGTCTCCAAATCAGATACGGGTCGCCTGGGTCCCCTTCGACCACACACGGCTCTGCACCCGCCGTCCCTGCCCGCTCTTGATGGGGCACATGGACGCACTCGGGCCTGTGTTACTGCCAGAGACCCACCTGCTTCGGGGGCGGGGGCGAGAAGCCCTGGCGTGTCCAGCTGAGTGAGGAAGGAGACTGCGCGATGAGTGCCCACGGAGCCTGCCGTGCCAGGGCCCGGCTCCTACCGCCCGGGGGCGCCAGGCAGCCTGCAGGATGCGGCCGGTCCTGGAGGACCGCGGAGGTGGACGGCTTCTGTGAACACCTCCCTGGGCCGCACCCACCCTTTTGGGTTTGGAAACTTTTTCTGGGAATCTTCTGGGGCTCCCTCTGAGACCCCTGCCTTGTCTCCCCGCCCAGCCTCTCAGACAGGCCTGACCAAAGACAGAGCCGTGAAACGTCTACACAAGAAACCAATGGCCCAGCTCCTTGGACCCCTTGTCCCCAAGAGGTCTAGGAGCCTTGTCCCCAAGAGGTCTTCCGCCCCCAGCCCAGGGCAAAGGACAGACTGGGTTCTCGGAGGCTCAGCCCAGGCCCCAGGGCTTCAGGGCAGCGGCGAAACCTGGGCAAGAAGCTTGCGGGGAGGGTTCCTGCTAGGCCGGTCCCCTCGCTCTGTGTCTTGCACACTTGCCCTCTCAAGAGATGCACCCGGCCTGCAAGTGGGGAGGCGGGGAGCCATGTCCTAGCCAACTTTGCTTCCCAAGTGCTACTCGCGGGCGACGTTTTAGGAGCTCTCAAGGGAGACCAGGCCCTTGTGTCATCACTGAGAGCTGTTGCTTTAAAAGAGACCCGAGACCCGGGAGACATGCCGCCGGAGTCCACGTTCCGCTGAACACGGGATCGGACTTGGAGGCTTCCTATCTCCCCACCCAGAAGGAATTGCTGCCATTTCCTGAGGGACGTGAAAAGGACGCAAGGTCGTGAGATGCCACGGGGAGCTCCAGGCTGCCCCAGCGCCAGGAGGGCGGGCGAGGGTGCCAGGGTTCAGGGCCCAGCGCCCGGAGGCCCCTCGGAGCCCTGCTGCTGGGGGTCCCAGACAGGTTCGCTTTTCCCAGAGCTGCTAGACTGCGGCCTCAAGAGTGCGGGCAATCTTCCCTGACTCTCCTCCTCACCCCGGACTCCTGGCAGGGGCTCCAGTCTGCCCCCGCTCTCGCCTTTCCTCCAAGTGAGAGAAAATATCTGTTGAAACCCTTTCACAGAAACGCAGGCAGAGGGCTCTCTATGCCACCCTAGCTCAATCACTCTTTGGTAACCTGGTTAGAGAAAGATAATTTTGATGGTTGTTCTTAATGTTTATTATAATGAATAAACGCTGTTAAGTGTTCTTTTGTAGAGACATTGATTCCGCCAGAAGCCCATCCTGACAGCTTCACCTCCTCAAGTGGTGGCTCAGAGTCCCCGGCTTGAGCTTTGACAGGACCTGCCTGACCATGAGCATGAGAGCGACTAACCGAGCTTTCGAGCATACAAACCCCTTGCTCTGCTTGGTGTGCCTTCTCTCTTCTGTGTGGAGATCCAACACCATCTGCGCTACACAGTCTAGATATTGAGGGATTAGCATTCACGTTCCCCTAGAAAGGGCCTTTGCCACGTGATTGTTTCTTCTGAATGAGCCAAGGCAAGACTTTGCTCAATGGCTTCCATTTTGACCCAGATTCCCCAAAACAGGGAGTTGCTAATTGTCACGTGCTATATTTTTATGTAATGTTAACTCATGAGGCCCAAGGGGAAATCAGGGCCATCTTATTCAAGGAAACCAATTTAAAACTTTGTTAAAGGTGCATTTAATTTGTTCACACATGTTTTAAAATGCATCAATAAACTCAGGAGACCAGGGACACAAAAGGAAGCCTAGGGCAACATGTTTTTGGCCAAGGTGATCCAGCTCCGTTTGGACTCAGGGGTCGCCCTGCCAATCCTCTACGGGGCAGCTGAGAGGAGGCATCCTAAATCGTGATGACTCGCCACTTATCCTCCAGCCAGACCGCCAGTCAGCCCGCGATATTCTCCATCCTTATTTTCTGTGTTGTTGTTTCTTGTGTTTTCTCACGCACATGGCCACTGTCTGTTTTGCCAGCGCAGAGGTGTTTAACTGTGTAGCAATTGCTTTCCCTCAGAGGAATGCCACAGCTGCCACCAGCAGAGCAGCTGAAGACCAGTAGCTGTGGAATATTTTCTGTGTTTTCTATTATAACCATCCTGGTGTGTCGGAAGGGGGCAAAGTACACCCTTTTGGGCCAAAGCCCGAGATGTCCCATCACCTGCTCTAATGGTGCCCTTTGGTCTCATGAGGCCACCTGAACCTCCACTCTCCTGTCAGTCGGATGCGCCTGTGCTGCCTGCGCTGCCTTTACAGCTAAGCTGGCGATCCTGCGATTCACACGTGTAGGAGAGGACTCCTGCTGTACACTCAGCAGGAGGTGGGCTGAGTGTTTGCAAAACAAACAAACGAGAAAACAAGAAAAGTCCAAGTGACCGAGTTTGCGAGCATGTAGCCCCCTCACAATGTACTGTGGGGGTACAGAAAAACAGAGGCGATGTTAACTTGGGGGAGGGGTGTGAAATACTCAAGTCAGGTGACCTTGAGGACCTTTGAAAGCTGCGCTAGGTGTGCGGTGAGGGTGACCTGGCCCAGACCTGGGCACCGAGGCCTCCTGAGGAAACCCCATCCACGGGGGAATCACCCTGCGCGGAGCAGCCCCACCAGGGAAAATTTTCAGCCAAGCACCCGTTGTCTCGGGTCTTAGCACCACAGAGGGCAGACCTTGGGGCCGGGGGGCCTAGTGTCAGAGCCTGAGACCTGGCGGGGGTGAGACTGACCAGTCCCCATATGTGAAAGGCTCTCAGAGAGACGCCAGTTCCTGGGATGGCCAAGAAGCCAATCAGGTTCTCGCACCATCCCTCAGCTTCGAGCCCCCGACAAACTCCTCAAAAACCAAGGCACCGAGCACGGAGTTCACTTGGGGAGGTCCCAGGAAACTTTCCTCATGGCTGGTGTACGATTTTAGCTACAGTTCTTTTTCAGAGTTGGCTGCCAGGCAGACATCAGTAGCATTTCTTCAGTGATCAAGGTTTCCTCTCATGTTGGCCTCTTGCCAGGTAAAGGACCACCAGAGGATGGAAGTAGACGGCCTCCACCTGGTGGGTCAGGGAAGGCAGAGGAGATGAGGGGCCATTGTGGGGGGACCTACCTTCCAGGAGGGATGGCATCCCCATGGCGGGGGGGGGGGGAGGGAGGTAAAGGTGTGTCCTTTGTGCACGTGCGGGCAGCCCTGATCAAAGAACTGTATCCAAAATTTTATTTCAAAAGTCTCCTAGCCACATTTTAATAGTTTGAGGCTTTGGAACAGAAATCCTTCTTTCTCGGCACTGTTAACTGTGGGATTTCTTCCCTACTTGCTGTGCCGAGCATTTGCCAGATGAAATTGTCTACAGAGGCAGGGGGATATTTTTCTCTGAGGTAGGAGCAGAATATTTGGGGGGCACCTGGGCTACCCGGGACCATCACATTTGTCCCCCGCTCCCAGAGTGTCCCAGTTTGGACAGTGCCTTATAACCGTCACTCTCATTACCGTGGATTGTGTTTATTTTCAAAATCGTTGTAGAACTTACCGTTTTGACCAGGCGTACAGTTTCATGACATTGAATATGTCCTCACTGCTATTCCCCAGTCACTACCGTCCGTCCCCTGGACGCTCTTCCTCTTGCAACACGGAAACTCTGTACCCATTAAGCATCAAGGCCCCACCCCGGTGCCAGCTCCTGGCAACCAGCATTCGGCTTTCTGTCTCTGACTGCTCTAGGCATCTCATGGAAGTGTAATCAATCTTACAGCGTCTATCTTATTCTTACTGGCTTATTCCATGTAGCACAATGTTTTTAAGATCGATCCATATCATAGCATGCATCAGTTCCTTCCCTTTCTGGCTGGATGATATTTTATTGTGCATATGTAGAAATTCATGTCTGTGATCCATTCACCTGTAGATGGATACTCTCTCATTCCCACCTGTGCGCCATTGTGAAGATTTGTTGTCTATCTCCTTTCCATTCCTTCCATTTCGAGGGGTCGAATTACTGGATCATATGGTACTTCTACTTTCAATTCTTTGAGGCGCTCCCATGCTGTCTCTATTAGTGACTACACCATTTCGCTTTCCCATCGGAGGAGCATAAGCTTTCCAATTTCTCCACATCCTCGCCAATATGTGCTTTAAGAAATGGTAATAATAATAAGTCATCTTACTGGGTGTGAAGTGGAATCTCACTGTAGTTTTGATGGCATCTCTCTAATGATTATGATGTTGAACACCTTTCCACGTGCTTATTGTCCACTTGTATCTCTTTGGAGAAATGTCCATTCACGTCCTTTGCTCGTTTTTCAATTGGACTGTTTATTTATCTTGGTTTGGGGTTTTTTGTTTGTTTGTTTGTTTGTTTTTGATGTTTTGGAGTTCTCTCAGTGTTCTGGATATTAATCCCCCATCAAATATGTCATGGATTTTATTTTACATGAGTTCAGAACTTTTCTTCCATGTAAAATTTTGAGGTCAACTATCAGAGTCCCCAGATAGGGCTCTTAAATAAATGACTCAGTCTGAATGGTAATCAAATTGTATAAGGAAAAATTTGATACCATCTTAAAGTTTATCTCGTCTACTGTTACAAATTCAAGTACACCAAGCAATTCTTACAAAGTTTGAACTTACAATCAAATAGAATCTCCATTTTCCTGATCAAATTCCTCATTTAAATCTTTACATTATGTGTTGCACCAGTAAAAATATATTGTCTTTAAAGTTTTCTAGCTAAAACATTCTCTCTTTATCTACCAGTTCCCTTTCCGACTTACCTGTTTGGAAGGTCTGTTTTTTATGGCTTTTGTTCTTTTAAACTTTTGAAAACTGTTGTTCAACTATAGTTGTCCCCATTTCCCCCCCATTACTCTCCCCAGCCCTACCCACCTCCTACCTCCCACTTCGACCCTCTCCCTCTCCCCACTGTTTCCTCTGTCCATGGGTCCTTATGCAGGTTCCTTGACTTGACCCTTCCCCTTCTTTCCCCCATTATTCCCCTCTCCCCGGCCCCGGTCACTGCCAGTTAATTCTTTCTCTGCATGTGTCTGGTTCCATTTTGCTCGTTTATCTGTTGTGTTGATTAGGTTCCACTTGCAGGTGAGATCATACGCTATTTCTCTTTCACTGCCTAGCTCATTTCACTTAGCATAATGCTCCCCAGTTCCCTCCATGCTGTCATGAAGGGCAGGAGTTCCTCCTTTATTTCTGCTGTGTAGCATTCCATTGTGTAAATGTAGCACAGTTCGTTGACCCACCCATTTGCTGGTGGGCACTCGGGCTGTTTCCAGCCCTTGGCTAATGTAAATAACGCTGTTACCAACATTGGGCTGCCTAGGTTCTTTTGGTGTTTCAGGATTCCTAGGGTATAATCCCAGCAGTGGAATTGTTGGGTCAAAAGGCAACACCGTTCTTTGTTTTTCTGAGGAGATTCCATACTGTTTTCCACAGTGGCTGCACCAGTCTGCTTTCCCACCAAAAGGGTACTGGGATTGCCGTATCTCCACCACCTCACCAGCACCTGTTGTTTGTTGAATTGTTTGTAACGGCCATTCTGACCGGTGTGAAGTGGTATCTCATTGTGGTTTTAACTTGCATTCCTCTGCTGACTAGTGATGATGAGCGTCTTTTCATATGTCTCTGGGCCCTGTGTATGTCCTCCTCAGAGAAGTGTCTGTTCAGGTTCTTTGCCCATTTTTTTATTCAATTGTTTGTCTTCCAGGCATGGAGTTGTGTGAGTTCTGTCTATGTGTGGGAGATCAAACCCTTTTCCAAGGTATCATTGGCCAATATATTTTCTCATATGGTTGGTTCCCTTTTCATTTTGCTGGTGTTTTCTTTAGCCGTACAGAAGCTTTTTAATTTGATGTAGTCCCATTTGTCCCTAGAGCAAGGGACAGAAAGGAAAGAATACACAAATATTCTTTGTTTATTCTTCTGGTGAAAATAGTGCTGTGTGGAATACCTGAGACTTTCCTGCCTATGTTCTCCACTAGGACTTTTATGGTGTCATGACTTATGTTAAGTCCTTTATTCATCTTGAGTTTATTTTTGTGTATGGTGGAAGTTGGTGGTCGAGTGTAATTTTTTTTGGCATGTAGCTGTCCAGCTCTCCCAACATCATTTGGTGAACAGGCTATTTTTCCTCCATTGTATTCTTCTGCCCCCTTTGTCGAATATTAATTGACCATAGAAACATAGGTTTCTTTCTGGGCTCTCTATTCTGTTCCATTGATCTATGTGTCCATTCTTATGCCAGTACCCAACTGCTCTGATTACGGTGTCCTTGTAATATAGCTTGATACAGGCATTGTGATCCTTCCTACTTTGTTCTTCTTTCTCAGAATTGCTGAGGCTATTCGGGGTCATGGATGATTCCATATACATTTTTGAAATGTTTGTTCTGTATCTGTGTAATATGTCATTGGTTTTTTTAATAGGGATTGCATTGACTCTATAAATTGCTTTGGGTAGTACGGACACTTTGATGATGTTAATTCTTTGAATCCATGAGCATGGTATATGCTTCCATTTATTTGTGTCTTCCTCAATTTCCTTCTTCAGTGTGCTATCGTTTTCTGAGTCCAGGTTTTTTTACCTCCTTGTTGAGATTTATTCTTAGGTACTTTATTTTTTTTCTTGCTATAGCACATGGGATTTTTTCCCCCCTGGTGTCTGGTTCTGAGAGTTGATTGTTGGTGTACAAAAATGCCTTTGATTTCTGAGTGTTGTCTTTGTATCCTGCTGTTTTGCCAAATTCATATTATGTTGAGTAGTTTTTTGGTGGAATCTATAGGGTTTTCGAGGTACACTATCATGTCTGCAAACAGTGACAGCTTCACTTCCTCCTTTCCAATTTGGATGCCTTTTATTTCTCTTTCCTGTCTGATTGCCATGGCTAGAACTTCCACTAGTGTGTCGAATAGAAGTGGTCAAAGCGGACAACCTCGTCTTGTTCCCGACCTTAGTGGGAAGGCTTTCAGTTTTTGCCCGTTGGGTATGATGCTGGCTGTAGGTTTCTCCTACATGGGCTTCATTATGTTGAGGTATGCCCTCCCTACTCCCACTTCGCTGCATGTTTTTACAACACATGGGTGCTGTACCCATTGACCAAATGCTTTTTGTTTATCTATCAATATGATAATGTGATGTTTGTCTTTCCTTTTGTATGTGTGTTGTATTTATTGATTTGCAAGTAATGTACCATCTTTCCATCCCTGTGATGAATCTCACTTGATCACGGTGTAGGACCTTTTTAATGTACTGCTGGATGTGGTTTGCCAATATTTTGTTGAGTAGTTTAGCGTCTGTGTTCATCAGCAACATTGCCCTGTAGTTTTCTTTCTTTGTTTTTTTAAAAGTATATTCTATTGCTTGTGCTATTACAGTATTTTCCTCTACTATATGCCCCTCAGCCCCGCACTCCTCCTCCCATCTGGATCCACCGCCTTAGTTCATGTCCATTCATGTCCATGGGCCATACATATAAATTCTTTGGCTTCTCCATTTCCTATACTGTTCCTAACCTCCCCTGACAACTGTGTAGCTTCTCATTCCCTGTACCTTTTCCCGCATCCCCGCCCCATCCCTGCTGATAACCCTCCATGTGATTTCCATTTCTGTTATTCTGTTCCTGTTCTCGTTGTTTGCTTACTTTGTTTCTGCTTTTGTCTTTTAGGTTTAGTTGCTGAGGGTTGTGAGTTTGTTGTCATTTTACTGTTTCTAGTTTTGATCTTCTTTTCCTTAGATAGGTCCCTCTAACATTTCGTATAATAAGGGTTTGGTGATGATGAACTACCTTAACTTGACTTTACCTGCAAAGCCCTTTGTCTGCCCTTCCATTCTAAACGATAGCTTTGCTGGGTAGAGTAAAGCTGTCAGTTAGGTCCTTGCCTCTCAAATTTTCAATACTTCTTTCCAGGCCCTTTTTTCTGTAAGGTTTCTTTTGAGTAATCAGCTAATAGTCTTGTGGGAACTCCTTTGTGAGTAACTGTCTCCTTTTCTCTTGCTGCTTTTAAGATTCTCTCCTTATCTTTAATCTTGGGTAATGTAACTATGATGTGGCTGGGGGTATGCTTCCTTGGGTCCAGCTTTTGGGGGACTCTCTGAGCTCCCTGGACTTCTTGGAAGGGTATTTCCTTTGCCAGACTGGGGGAGTTCTCTCCTTGTTTGTTCAAATGAGTTTTCAATTTCTTGCTCTTCTTCTTCTCCTTCTGGCTCCCTTATGATTTGGACATTGAAACGCCTAAAGCTGTCCCTGAGGTTCCTAAGCCTCTCCTCATTGTTTTGAATTCTTCTTTCTTCATTCTGTTCTGGCTGAATGTTTATTTCTTCCTTGTGCTCCAAATCATCGATTTGAGTCCTGGTTCCTGCCCTTCACCGTTGAATATTTTTCTTTATTTCACTCTGCATAGCCTTCAGTTTTTCCTCTATTTTTTGACCATGCTGAACCATTTTTGTGAGCACCCTAATTACCAGGGTTTGAACTCTGCATTTGGCAGGTTCTCTTGGACGCTTAGTTCTTTTTTGGGAGTTTTGATCTGCTCTTTCATTTAAGCCATATTTCTTTGTCTCAGCACATCTGTTACATTGTATGGGGGAGAACCTTAGGTATTCACCAGGACTAGGCAACCCACTTGGCTGTATTTTGGCACCGTCTCTGGGGGAGGGGTGCAAGAGGGAACAATGCCACTTTCTTGGCTCTCAACTGGCTTTCAGTCACTTCCCCTGCTACCCACAAGCAAATTGGGCCCTTCTGGTGCTGATTCCCAGGTTGATGGGTTTGTGTACATCCTAGGACCCTGTGAATCTCTCCAACGAACTCTCCAGTGAGGCTCGGAATTTCTCCCGTCACTGCACCCCACACAGGTTTTACAGCCAGAAGTTTTGAGGCTTTCTTTTCCCGTGTTTGAACCCTGGGTTGTGCGGTCTATCTCGCTCTCCTGTTGTTCCTTCCTGTTTATCCACACACAAATGTGGGACTACCCAGTCTGCCAGCCACTGCCTCGCCCACCTGGTCCTCTAGTGGCTGCCTTGCTGCAAGACTCCACCCTTGCTGCCCACCTCCACCCCTCCTATCAGTCCGGATGAATATTTCTTCTTTAACTCCTTGGTTGCCAGACTTCCATACAGTTTGATTTTTCTGGCAGTTCTGGTTGGTTATTTTTTTAAGATTTTATTTTATTTCTTTTCAGAGGAAGGAGTGGAAAAGGGAGGTAGAGAAACATCAATGTGTGGTTGCCTCTCTCACACTCTCCAACTGGAAACCTGGCCTGCAACCCAGGCATGTGCCCTGACTGGGAACTGAACTGGCAACCCTCTTGTTTGCAGGCCAGTGCTCAATCTACTGAGCCGCACCAGCCAGGGAAGGTTGTTTTTTGTTTTTAAATTTGTTGTTGTCCTTTTTTGGTTGTGTGAGGAAGCAAAGTGTATCTACCAATGCCTCTATCTTGGCCGGAAGTCCCAAATTTTCATGCACAATGCTAAACATTGTTTAAAGACATGTAGGCAGCTCACTGAACCAAAGGCAAAAGCATTAAAATTGGTTGCTTCTGGGGAATGAAACCAAGCATAAGAAGTGGTGAATCAGGGAACTATTATTTTTCTTTAAAAACTTTCTGTACTGTTTGGTTTTTAACCAGGTACTACTTGATTTTTTTGCTATGTGTATCTTGATAAGAATTGAAATATTAGTCAATTTTGGACCTGCTGTACTCAAAAGCAGCGTGTAACACATTTGGCCTCATAAGGTTTAGTATAGTCTTTTTAAAAAAATTTTGTGCTCCACATCCTGATTATGAAAGAATTATTTACCCAAAGCTAAATTGACAAACAGAACTTTGAACTTTAACAAGGCAGCTCCAATGGACCTAGACTTGGCTGAAGAGGCTTCTGACTAGTGCCTAAACACAGCCACAAAGGGGCAAAGTAAATCAATTATCTCCATGGTTTTCAAGGAGATCTCTTGATATCAAAACTTCTTTCTTTATACACTTCTCCTCTGATCCTGTGGAGATGAAAATTGACATCCATAGCCATATTCTACCAAAAGAATGGCCAGATCTAAAAAAGGTAATGGTGATTAATTTGCTGAATTATTTTTAGAACTTCTTCAGGGTTTCTCAAGGCCTCTGTCATAGACATATCTCTTCTTTGAGAAATTAGATGTTATGTTTTTCCGATGTAGCAGTGCTTTAAAATTATTTGGTAGCTCTGATTTCCTAGTTTTTAAAAATAACTGTCATATTAATTTAGAAATAACTGATCAAAGAAATAAGTGCTTTCTCAAAATCCTTTTATTAAAGCATTCTTTAAAATTTCTGGACAATTTAAGTCAGGCAATTTTACTTCCACTTAAATCACATATTCAGCTGCTAGGAAGATACATGCCAACTATAGAACTTATAGTTACAGTTTCAAGTAAGAGACTATTAAAAAATGGAATGCAATAGTTTTCCAGGACTTCTAAAACATATCTCCTTTCCCAAATATTTAAAATAAGGTTTAGAAGCACCAAGAGACAACTTGTGGAATTTTTTGTAGTCTATTTTAGTACACTGTCTGAAACTTTTCCTTTTTGATATTCTCTAAGCTATAAATCCTTGTTATGAACCAGAGAGAAGGAACATCAAAAAACCCTGGAGGAAATGACATGTAGCTTTTCCACAATGAGTATCTCTAAAGAGTCTTCTCTGTGTTTCTCAAAGGATAGCAATTTCCTCTTGTCATTAAGAACTTTTGAATGAATAACTATACCTTTGAATAAAACTATTAGAAGATAGGAGACATTAACAAAATTTACAATTGGCTTGAGTTTGTTCAAGTTTAATATCAGGTTTTACCCCATCTCAAGCCTTCTCTAGAACTTGCATACTACTGATAATGTTTCATCTTTTTATTCTAAGTGAAGAAAAATAAATTAACCTAAACTCTAATTAAGTAGTGATTCATTGTGCAAGTAGCTGAGAATATTTTCTTCTCATAGTTGGTAATCTTAAGTGCTTTTATGTTCATGGTATTTTAGGTAAAATGGGTGGTAGACATTGTGGACTGAAAAATACAAATGATGCTGAATCACCTTTGAAAGGCTGTCCTAATGCAGCCAATCACAAAAGCTAACCCTATCAAACTCACTCCTCCCAAAGGAGGCTGGGTGCCTACATAGGAACCTGCTGTTCTGAATGCTGTTGTCCTTGTCAGAGTTTATTAAAGTGCAAACACCACTTTGCAGTTTTAGTGATGGTGGCCCAGAGCAGCCTAAAAAGATGTCTTCTCTGCTAAGGAGAGGAAACTGTGTACCTAATATCTTATGCCACAACCCCACCTCCCATTACTTGTCTCCCACCCCAAAGCCTGACTAGTTTGAGCAGAGAACTGGTTGCCAAGAGCCTGTAATTTTTAAGTGCCCTACCTAATGCAGGGCCCTAAAGGTATTGTTAAAACTGCATAGGTAGCTGAGGTTTGCAGAGCATGGAGAGGTTATAGCCACAAATGGGTGCCCTGGAGACTTGGCAAGAACACGCTCTGCTAGCTCTTTATTCCACCTCCGATCCCTATCTTCCAGGTATTGCCTCAAAGGTGAGGGGAATTATGTTGTATAAACCAGGCATCTATCTAACAGTCTCATGCACTGCAAGCAGATAACTGATACACGATGATGATGATGATGATGATGATGATGATGGTGATGATTGTGATGATAGTAAGAATAATAATCATAGGAATCTCATGAACTGCAGAATACATAAGATTTATATTATTAACCCTGCTGGACATATAAAGTACTGGAGACTCAGAAATGAGCCCAGGATCCCAGAGCTATATGGGACCATGGTGGCCCCTCCCCGGCACCACCACAACACCTGTCTGAGACAGGTCCAGGAGAATATTACTGCTAAAAAGGATGTCCCTGCTCCCTTCTGTCCCCCAGTGCCTCCCTCGACACCGGCCCACTCCTGAACACCCCAGATCCACCTAGGGCTTCACCACAGGGCCATTGGAACCTAGCTTCCAACCTGAAGTTCAAGCAATCAGATCTGTTCTCATTTACATTCAGGCAAGCCAGTGGCAAAACAACTAGTAGAAAACAGTTCTGTTTTCAAATTGGGAAGAGATAAATAAAAATACATTAAATGGTGCTAGGATTCTTCTCCATCTCTCCCCATTCTCAGTCTATTTGGTCAGAATAAATTGAGTGTTAAAGTGACAATAGTTAATGGCAGATTCTTCTGGTGATTATATAGTTCAATAATTACAGCAGATTTTCCTTTGTCTTCCAAATGTTTCTTAGTGGGTAAAATGTTTCAAAACAGCAGCCTCTGATTTTTTCTTACCATTTTTTCAAACTTTGCAATAACAGAATGAAAAGAATAAGCCAGTACTAGTTCTATGTTAGAAGATGAAGCCTGTTTTTTCAAACCTGCCTTTCTCTATTAAACATTAACAGACACACCTCAATAACCTTGACCTCCTTATGCAATGAAGAAACAGAAAAGCAGAATCAACATGCCTGGCTTGATGATTAACTAATGATTACAAAGGACTGGGATTCAAAAAAGCTTTTCATTTTCACTTGCTAATAATGATTTTAGTCAGAGTTATAATTAAGATCTGTGAGGTGAAAAGAAAGCAGATTGAGAGGATACTTGATGCAATTGTTTCTAATGAATGAAGACCCATACGCGCTGTAGTCACAAATAGGAGATTGGTGGCTAAGAAATCATGGTGAAAGTTGTCTCAGGTTGATCCATATGAGATTATTCATAAAAGCAATGATGGTAATAAGGTTTTGACTTTTTCCTTCAGCAAGACTCTACTGACTACCTATTATGTGCACAGTAGTAGGGCTTGCAAAGATTCTTCTAATTTTAAATAGAGTAAAAAATTCTGGTCTTTAGTGAAAAATATATTTACATCTTCTTTTGTTAGCAATAATTTAATTGCACTCATTCACTGTAAGATTTTAGGAGACAAAATCCCAGACATAACTTGACTTTTAAACAACCTCTGTGAGGAACTAGATATTTGGTTTCATTAACCAGGAAATTTATTATTCACCATATGAAAGTGTGAGGTTCCCAAGGCATTAAAAATGTCATTCAGTTCATCAACCTGATTCATATATATCCAATTCAGAAATACACCTCTTGAGTAGAGAACTAAAGTCCCTTGAATTTTTTAATTTGTTTTTTATTTGTCATGCCTATAAATGTCTCTAGGACATTGGTCCTTGTCAGCAAATCGTCTTCAGACGATAAATGCCTCTTGGCATATGTTCTGACCAAAAGTACTTCCTGGGTCATAAATTTCAGACCTCAGGATGGTTCAACTTAGGATGAGAGCTGGAGGACTGAACAGATCCCAGACTTCAAACAGAATTACGTTCACCCAAACAAGTTAGGTCTTTGCAAGGGGCCTAGAGGAAGCACAAAGTGTTCAAATTTTGTGCTTTTCAAGAAAGGGGAGGAAGGAATAGAGTGACAAAGGGCTCCTGACTTCATGACACTCCTTAGTGCCTGACCCTAGGGTGTGCCATATTTACCAGCTAAATATAGAATAGGCTGTCACCACTATGCCACCCCCGCTCCCATCACTGCCTGCCGCCACTACCGTTACCATCACTGATATCACCACTGCCACCAAACTCACTACTCCAACCATCACCACTACCAGCTCACAAACTCCACCATTGCCACTACCACCACCACGGTCCCTACAAAACCACGACCATCACCATCCCCACTGTTGCCACCACCATATCCAGCTCCGCCACCGCCATTCCCCCTGTCACCATCATCATCAATGGTAGCACTGATGAGGTCCTCTCTATAAACCAGGTCTGGAGACAATAGCTTTCTATGAACTATCTCAGTTAATTCCCAGAAAACCTTATAAAACCTCAGAGCCACCGCTGTAGCCTCATGTTACACATAAGGAAACAGTGACTTTGAGATGTGAAGTTACTCCAACAAGGTCAAGTACCTTCTGAGTAGTTTGTCATGTGTGACAAGAGCTCTCTGTTCTTCCTCCCTCTGGCTCACTGACCTTCCCCAGATGGAATACTTTCTAACCTGATAATTTGTGGTTAAAGTTTTGTAGGGAATTAAGAAAAAGTAAGAAAGAGAGTGAGGGAAAAATGAAAGAGATAAAAGGAGGGAAAGAAAAAAAAGAAAACCTTTTCTTTCACAATAAATACATTAAAGTAAGATTTCAATGGCAAATTTCCAGGTTGAGATTTTAAGTTTACTCTGAAGTGCAACTGATGAGGCCACTTCATCCTCCAGCCTACATCTCTGGGCAGCTTTACCCCAAGGAAGCGAGAGGGAAAGCCCAAGGGTATTGAATTCATGAGGGGAGGAGAGTGCTAATGGGAGTGCGTGAGTGGCGGGCGGGGGACGGGGGGGGGGCGGAGGCAGGGGGAGACAGCCAAAGAAGAAACTGGGTTCAGGGAGGAGGAGCTTGGGCCCCTGGTCCACAATTTCCCCTACATGCCCAGCCTATCAAGCCTGGTCTTCTGATGTCACTTGGGGGGAAGCAGGTAGATCTAGAGTTAAGATGATTATTGGATGCTGTGACTCAAGAACCAAACTTATGCTCAGGTAGAAGAAAGCTGGTATAAAATTGACCCAAATCCTAAGAAGTCTGGTGGGACAGACCCTAGTCACAGACACAGAGATACATAAACACCTCCATACTCAGCTCTTCCTTCTCAGTCTGGAGGGGAGAGCGGAGCTAGGAGGGATCTGCCAGACTTGACTTCCTCAAGACACCCTCCCTGTCATGACATAAGAACCAGCCACTGTTAGTTGGTCTCATCCAACTATAACACATAAGAAGTTCTACTGATCTTCAGTTTCCTTAATTTATCATTGATGACTGGAACTGCTGAGGAGATCTGCATATCATTGTCTCCAGCTGCCACCCCTTCCCCTTTTACATCACAATTTGAGAGCCACCACTTTGGAGCATGGAAATGCTGACCACTGGAAATTCCTCTCCAATCTGACCGCAGACTGTCTTTTCACCTTGCCTTCCCTGACACCATTGACCCAAGCTGTAGGTTAGAACCTTCCTCCTGGCTCCCAGAGAATTTGTGCACCATTCAATCACAGCACAACTCACATGCAATTACGGCTTTTCAAATACATGTCCATTCCAGCCGTGCCCTCTCAAGACTGCTCCACACAGGCTGGAACTTTTCTTCACACTTTTATTTTCTCTGCCCTAGTAAGGCCAATCATCAGTGGGACTCTGTGAGGGTTTGAAGAATGAATGAATGAAGAGTGAATGAATGAGTAAACAAAATGAGATTTTAAAACCTATAGTTAATGAGTCACATATACCTGCATTCTTAGGCAGAGGCTTTCAAAATTTTCTATTCATAACCACCAAGGAGAAGTATATTTTAGTTGCAACTTAGTATAACCCATGAAACAAGAGTTTTATGAAATGAATAATTATACATGGGAGGCATTCTAATGTTTTCCTTTCTATTCCTTTACTGCCTAGGCTTCACTTTTCCAAAAAAACAGATTCTGAGATAAAGACTCAAATGCAAATAGTTTATTTCTGACGCGATCTCAGAAAACACTAGTACAGTGGGGAAGTGAGACAGGGAAAGCAAGGCAGCCAAAGGAAGTTCAGTGTGTGTGCCTCACCTCAGTCAGACCTTTGAACTAGTGTGTTCAGTGTATTTATAGACAAACATCCTCAGTGGTGGTGGGTGGCTGCGGAGGAGAGGTGTGACACTGATGTCCTGGTCCTTCTGAACTGCTAGAAGGGTCCGACCAAAGTTGTTTCAGTGGCAAGAGGCTGGTGTGCACAGAAGTGTTAAGAAGCAGGAATATGGGTAGAATACCAACACCATCTGCTACACATACTATTTTGTGTTTTTAGAATATCTGGGTCACTGTCCACTAAATTGATTTCATGGATCACAACCCACAGTTTGAAGGGCAGTGTTCTAATATGGTATTTCCTAAAGAGCAGTCCTTACTGTCTAGGTACTATGGCCCCTGAAATAGCTTAGGTGGTATTGTTTTTAACACAAATATTTTTTAACATAAATCCTCATTTTAAAACTGCAACCTGCTGGAGGAAAAAAGGTAAAACTAGCACTTCTATGATATACTTGAATTTTCTTCTGAATAAATGCATTTAGGGAAAGAAGGTAAAGTGGTTTAAATATAAATATTAAGTGATAACATGGATATGAAGGGAAAATGTGAAGGTGATGCTCGAAAGGATTTGCCCCTTTATCGCAGTCCTATCTGATTTGCTCTCTCAGTCTAACTGTGCTTCTTGTCCTGCAGAAATTTGGCTACGGAGGCTGGGTGCAGCTCCAACACCACAGCAAGGTGAGTTCCCCCCAAACTGTGAGCATGCCTCAGATCCAGTGACATCCTGAACCTGAGACCGTCCTGCAGGCCTCTAGGAGCTCGCGACTCTCCTGCACTCCCATTGACTCTGTAGGAGGCAAGGGAGTATTACTGATGTTTCTCAAAATCATTTAGAAAAATGAGGGTTACTTCAAAGGCATCACTCAGGAAGATAAAATTGGAATTTGAGAAGCCATTAAGAAACTTTTCCTTTTTTTCTCCTCAAACCAATTTTAGCATTTATTGTTCTGCCTTAAGGAAGTGAGCTGACCCTCTCCACAGGTCAGTATTGTATATTACGGCCAACGAAATAAATGGAACAATTTAGGTCTGAGCACAGGCTAGAGAAATTAAACATTGGAGATGGGAAAAGAAGCTACTGGTTGACTTTGGTAAGAGGAAAAAGTGAAAGGAGGCTTGAGAATGAGGTCAAAGTCTAGGGCTGCACAGAGGTCAGACCTGGATTCATTTTCAGGGGTAGCAAATGCCTGTGTGAAGTTTAGAGGGAACCATTCCTGAGCTTCCAGCTGGAACACAGGCATGTCTAAGGCAGGCTTGGAAGGCTTGTGACCTAGGAAGATGCAGTTACCTTGTGCAGGAGTAATACATGCAGTGTGATAAGGTTAGAAGTGCATTTGGACCTGGTGCTGGAAGGCACAGACTTGGGCACTAATATTGGAGAAGGCCTCCTGGAGGAAGTGATGCCCATCCTGAGTCTTGAAGCAGGGGTGTTTAGGCTTGTCCAAGGAATAAAGGAAACAAGTTTCCAGGAAGGCAAGACAGGGAGCAAAGGCATGGGAATATTCATATATATAAACCCAGGACTCAAGCACTTGGCTATGGCTGGGACCAATATTTCTCACAATGTGATATCCAGACCAGCCAGTTCAGCTTCACTTGAGAACTTGGAAGAAATACAGACTCATGGACCTCAACTCAGACCTGCCAAATCAGGAACTCTGAGGATCAGACCAGCAGTCTGTGTTTTGACAAGGCTCCAACTGATTCTGATGCTTACTGAAGGTTGAAAACCACTGGCTATATTCACTCATGCATTGACTGATTTTTTATTAACACCAATTTTGTGCCAGTCTCCCTAGTCTGGATATGAGAAATACACTGGTGAGCAAGACAGACATGCCACCTGCCTTCATTGTACTCAAATTCTAGGGGGAGGCAAACAAACCTGATCACTTTGGAGAATGGAATGAAAAGCGGGAAGATTAATTGAGACTGGCTGCACAGGCAGCTAGTGAAGATTTGGAGGAAAGGAGGGAAAACCTGGGATAGTGACAGTGGCCCAGGGAACAGCAGTCGCAAAGGCCACCATATGAGGAAGAGCTGTGTTCAAGGAAGAGAGAGGAGGGCATTGTGGCTGAGATGTAGTGAAAGGGGCAGATGGTAGGAAATGAGACCAGTGAGGTAGGCAGGGGCCAGATTATGAGGGGACTTGTAGCACATACTAATGAGTCTGGACTTGATTTTGAGTGCAATGGAAAAACTCTTTGGGCGGTCTTAATAGCCTAAAAAGACTACTTCAACTGCAGAGAATGGATAGAGGCAGGCAAAAGTTTGGGAGCTAAGTGGTGGGAAGAAGCTGAAGAGGGGGGCACAAGCCTCATTAGATAGAGCCTTGGAGATTCGGTTTAGGCCATTGAACTTAATGCTGAAAGCAGTGGGGAATCATTACAGAGTATTCAACATCAGAATCTCTCGGCCACTTCATTCTCACCTTCATCACAGAGCACCCGACTAGGTGTCAATTCAGACACTGAGCTGCACCTCTGTCACGAGAAGTGCTTGTTCCAAGCCTGGAGCTAGTGATCGAAGCTTCCTGTAAGTCTCCCCAAGGAAGAGAACAAACAGACTGACTGGAGCTGATGACAAGGCTACTAGGAAGCCCCAGATGCAGGGAAGGGCAGCCTGTGATTTTTTTTTTTTTTTGGCAGCCTGTGTTATTTTTTTAAACTCCACATCCCAGGCTGCAGTCTGTAGCCTTGATAATGGAATTGAATGGCCTTCATTTCATTTTGTTTTCATGTCAAGAGATTGCATAAACTTAACAGCAAATTTCAACAAAAAAGAAAGACAATATTTCCAGTCCCATCTACTACCTACACATTTCCAGCAAAATTGGATACACTGGTAATCGAATAGGAAAAAAACAGTGACACTCTCCTTCCCTTCTCTCAAAAGCAAAACAGAACCAAATCTGTAGTTTTCATAATCACAGTGATCAGGGGTTACAGTCACTGGAAAACAACATGCAAATGTATATAAATATTCAGATTAGGCAAACAGCAATGAGAATATCCAGTATTAGAGGGTTGAAATTTATTTTTATTCTCCTACATTCCTTTGGTGAGCGAATATTTTCTGTCCCCATGTCTGATTTATCTCAGAGATTTCTGTTCCCTGAAAACTCTTTCCAAAACATTTCCCTGGTCTGCCTTACTTGTTCTCTTTCTTAACCTTTGGTTTTTCAATGCTACTCGAATGAATGGAGGGGTATTTGTTTACCACAGTAAAGCCTTGTTCAGAATTGAAAAATGCCATTTGCCTTTGGTTGAATATTTATAAAAGTATAGGTAGCAAGACAGTTTGCATGGCTTCCTCGCAGGAGCTTGTACAGGGGTTGGGGGTAGAATTGAGCCTTGATGGCAAGAATACCTGGGAGCATTTCAAAGGATAGACATAGTTCAAATCCATGGGTCAGCAGCATCTACAAGTATCCACTGAGTGTTTTTTAGGCCCTTGGGACTAGAAGCACACGCACGCACACGTGTGCACACCATTTTCATCACATCATGGAGCATTTCACACACATACTATTCTGTGTAATCTCTGATCATTGTGTTCCTAATATGAAAATGATTTTCCCTTCAGTGGGAGGCAAAGAAGACACCCAAGTGGATAGAGCACACACAAATAACGATGCTAAATTGATAATTTGTGCTAAAATAATCATTTTGTGATAAATGAACAAAAGAGACAATAAATAGCAAGGGAGTTCAGGGAAAGTGAAAAGCTCAAAACCAGGGGCAATTTTATAAGGATGAAGAATCATAGGTTAGTGATCATCTACTCCAGAATCTGAAAATAAGGGTTGCAACCCAAAAGTGAGTCATAATAAGTCAGTTGGTCAGGTAGGACAACCTTAAAAATTAAATAGATTACAAAATATTGTTCATGGTAAGAGTAAATACTGTTTCATGAAACTTTTGTCCCAGTTTCTATCTGTATAAATAGATATATCTGGCTCCCCTGGGTAACAATGGAAACTGTATTTCTACACATGGGGTCACAGCCAAAGTGATTGAAAGCCATTAATTTAGTCCAATGCTGCCATTTCATGCTTTTTTATTCTGAAGGTTAATTTTTCATTACATAAGTATTATCTCAATAAATTATTTTAAAATTTAAGTAACTGCAGATAAAACTACAATTCCCTTGGATCAGCACTCCCCATCTTCAGAACTAATTCCTATTAACAGTGTGGCGGGTATTTACCCAGATTTTTTTCCTATGACTTTACATATATATGTGACTTTATATATATATAGGGTGCCATACATATATATATGTAAAGTCATGTGTGTGTGTGTATATATATCCATATTATATCCATATTTTCTAGCTGCCATATGGATATATATATCCATAGAAACACATAGCATTATTTAATATAGCAATGTACATTTTTTTGCTATATCAACCAGGCTCCAAAGCAAAAATAAGCAGAACAGTTAGATTAGAATACTTTGAAAAGAGTTAGTAAGAATCTATAAAGGTGTAGGCATGTGATGAAGTTCTAAAGATAAGCAGGGGTTAGATCATACAGGGTTTTACAGACCAGGTTAAGGAGCTGGGGTTGTACCTTCAGGGCAGTGGAAATCCATTTAAGAGTTTCATGTGAGGCAGGGGACAGATCTAATTTAGAGTTTTGGGGGGTTTTTAATTTAATTTTTTTTAATTCTAGAGGATGGTTGTCCTTCCACATTTGTTCATTTTTTAAAATATTTTAAATCATTTTTTATTTTTTAATTATAGTTAACATACACTATTATATTAGTTTCAGGATTACCTCTCAGTGATTGAACAGTATATAACTTACTAAGTGACCATCCAGATAAATCTCATACTCATTTGATGCCATACAGTTATTAGAATATTATATCATCTATTATTATTCATAATATCATTAGAATATTATCCCCTATGCTGTACTTTACATCCCTGTGACTATTTTTTAAGTATATTGTGTTGATTATGCTATTACAGCTGTCTCAGTTTATCCCCCTTTGCTCCCCTTTGCCTAGTACACCCCTTCCCTCCAGCAATCCCTACCCCTCAGCTCATGTCCATGGGTCATGCACATCAGATCTTTGGCCTCTCCATTTCCTATACTATTCTTAATATCCCCCTGTCTATTTTGTACCTACCAATTATGCTTCTTAAACGCTGTACCTTTGCCCCCATTCCCTCTACCCCCTACCCACTGATAACCCTCCATGTGATCTCCATTTCTATGATTCTTTTCCTTTTCTAGCTGTTTGTTTAATTTGTTTTTGTTTTTGTTTTTTAGGTCCAGCTGGTGGTAGTTGTTAGTTTGTTGTCATTTTAATGTTCATAGTTTTGATCTTCTTTTCCTTAGAGAAGTCTCTTTAACATTTCTTATAATAATGGCTTGGTGATGATGAATTCCTTGAGCTTTACATTGTCTAGGAAGCATTTTATCTGCCCTTCAGTTTTAAATGATAGCTTTGCTGGATAGAGTAATCTTGGTTGTAGGTCCTTGCTTTTTATCACTTTGAATACTTCTTCCCTGCCAGTTTTCTTCTGAGAAATCAGCTGATAGTCTTACGGGAATTCCTTTGTAGATAACTCTCTGCTTTTCTCCTATTGCTTTTAAGATTTTCTTCTTATCTTTTACCTTTGGCATTCTACTTATGATGTGTCTAGGTTCAGTCTTCTTTGGT